TGGGGGTGGGGGGAGAGGGTGGCAGGCTGGTTAAGGCACTGGACTTGCACATGGCAGACAGCAGTTCAAGTCCTGGACCTGCTGGTTTGCTTTCTCATTACCCCCCCCCACACTGTCCCCCACCCCCTGTGAGCACACATGCCCTATAACAAATTTTAAAAAAATAGTAATAGGGGCCGGCAGGTGGCATGGTCGTTGAGGCACTGGACACCCACATGGTCAACCATGGTTCAAGTCCCAGACCCAGCAGCCTGAAAGTCACAACAAATAAACAGGTAAATAGATAAATGTTTAATCATTCATTCATTCTTTAAAAAACAGATCAAAAGTTCTGGCCCAGCCTAGTAGTGCACCTAGTAGCAAACTGAATTGTAATGCTGGAAGCCGCACAACTGACCGACTGACCATGGGTTCAGATCCCTGGGTCACCTTGAAAACATGCTGGGTGGTCGAGAGTGTGCCCAAAAGCCCAAAGAGCTGGAGGGCCAGGAAAGAGGGATGGCGGTGTGGCCAGACCCCATGGAGGGTGCCGCTCTGTATCTCTCCGTCTCGTGCGTCGTGGATACAATAAATAAAAATGGAGGGGTTCGGAGTCCCCCACGCATTTAAGAATGAGGGTGTGAGGAAGAGGGGTGGTCCCACAGGCAATGAAGGGGGTCCAGAATTAAGAGGTTTTCCTGAGCCCAAGACAATCCTCTTAAATTTGCCTAATCAGACCATTAAGCCTATTAGGTAATTAACCCCCCAGGGTGCCTTCCTATCCATCACCCTGACCCCTCCTCAATTCACTTCCCTCCCTAGGCTCACAGGGGTGTCCTCCTCCCCTCCCCTTGCTGCTCCACCTCTAAACCTGTCGCAGAGGTGGGTTTCAAAGGGATGAGGAAGGAGTCTCACAAATTCTTAGGATTGATCCTCCTCCTTCACTGTCATTCCCAACCTCTGCGCGGAGCTTCTCCCCTGTCAACCTGCTCAACATCCCCCCAACACACACACACCATCTCTCTATGAGGCTGGAAGATATTCGCCTTCTCTGAAGGAAACTGGGGATGTCCCCATCCCCATTTGCTGCCCCTCCTCTCTTGCATTCCTTTT